ACAATAACTATAGCGAGGAGCTAACACATTCATATCTCATACATTGTTGCCTATAACCTCTAACTCATCTCATTTACTCAACAACAAATCCTTAACATAATTTACAATTTTTCGCTATCAAAAATTTTGACTCATTCAATAATATTTAGACCCTAATTCTTGGCAAAGCTCCCTCCGCTCCACCGTCGATCTGCTTGATATTTATTGCATATAGATAGCATTTTCTACTTGATATATAGTCCGTCTCATAGTTCGATTTTTTAAACTTTTTTTTGCTTGAGGTAAATATCCAGGAGGAGAACCGAGGATTAGTGATCTAGTAATTTACTGCTGACAGGTTTGTGTGAATCGGTAAGTCGCTTGAAATATTATTTTAGATATCTCGAAATATGTTTACTATTTTTTTGGTAAATTACGTACTGGTTCAGCTAGAGCCTATACCGAGGATTTATAGGTGACGACCAGTCCAATTACCATGCTACATAAAAGCTTCGACTTCTTAAATATCACATCAAAAGACAAACGTGCCATTATTCTTATCAACTGTACTTTAGTGTATGAATTTTTTGGATATGTTTTATATGTGATTCCCATTGAACTTTGGGTCAAAATTCCAGAGGCTTTTAAAAAAGACTGTGGAGAGGTTTGATGCTCTTATATGCTGAAAGTTGCTTCGACGTTGTATTTTTTCCTTGATCTTGTAGAGTATGTGAGTTAGTATTTCTCTGCCGCAAACCTCACTTCGTTCCTCTTTGCCACACCTCGCAGATCGTATATTGTTCCACTGACTTCTCACAATTTACTTTGGTAGGGGATTATTCTCAACACCTATCAGTGGTGTCCCCTATGAACCTCCAGCTCTCACTATAGAACCTGCAGAGCTGGGATTGAGTAACAAAGTCCTCGTTTCGATGAGGATCCCAATCACTTTCGCGTAGGGTCGAAGTCCTACTCATCACAAACTCTTGATCATGGAGGAGAAGCCATCCGATGAGTTTCCGGAGCATATCCAGTACCCGATACGGAGATGGCGGATTGGATCAAGTAGGCCTGGAACGTTATAAAGAAGGGAGATGTAGATAAATATGCGCACCTCATGGATCTCCAGTCTCTATGCCTCACCCGGCTGAGACTGCAGGTTTTTTGAGACTTTTTTATTCGTATTTTTTTGGGGTAGAAGGGCCCGTGGAAAAGATGGTTGAATTCCACGGGTAAATACTGAGCTGAATGGCTACTCACCATGGACAATATGTCAATCATCTTTCAAGTAACAAAAGAGAATTGGAACACTGTGAAAGGCGTGTCCTAAGTCGGAGGGTAACCCAATGTGCTAGATAGTCTATGACACAATTAGCACAGTAAACCAGCACAGACACAGTATACTTTGGTAGTTCTTGTATTATAATCTACCAAGAGTTACTACCTCTGTGTAGATTCATGTATACAAGTTTTTTGTACAAGTCCAAGGACATGCACTTGAAGGCAACCCACACCTAAGGTATAACAGATTTGTAACGGGATGGAATGTAGCGGATAGTATAGGAATTATGATATGGATATCTGGGACATTTATATTATTGGATTTATTTCCTAAATGTCGTAGATAGAAACTAAGTTATCCAAATACAAGCGTTCTTCAATCAAAATAAGTCTTCTTGATATTTACGTTGGTGTTCTACGATCACATACAGCATCATTCCAAGGAAGAGATTCAGCCCGCAAGTGCTCACAAGCTTCAAATTTCACCATATTAGTTTAATAATCAATTCAAGTTGCTTGCTATCGACCCTCAATACGCTCTGCATATCTAATATATCTAATAGAATCGCATCCGAATCAAAGTCGAAAGCCAACAATGGCATATCTATTATTTACGACTTCTAATCAACGTCGATCCTACTATTTTCACTCGAATCCTCAAACTCAATCTTACCATTGTTGTGCTGGTGATAGCCAGGACTACTACGCACAAGGGTAATGATCACTGAGAATGAAGAACTTCCCAGGTGATTCTATGATGAGTGGGGGTCCACCGGAGCACTGCATGGAAATTGTTTCTAGATTATACTACCAGATGAGGATACTGGAATATTCCGTGATATTGTTTTGGGAAAATAAGGCTACAGTCTAGCTACCTCAGATGTGTATATGACTAGTGCTTTCTATGTCCTAGATCCTCATAGTTCTGAATATAAACAATCAGCAGTTCACATTGACTCATCGACAATCATCCTTAAATCTTCTGCCAATAAATTATACGTAAGCTCTTACCTTTACAATAAACATGTACCATCTTGTTTCATCGACCGATCATGGAGCTGCTTCATTTGTAAACATAAGCTTGCCTTTTATATAACTAGCCAACTCTCACTATCAAATTACTATGTTGCGTATACCCATGTGGGGAGAGAGTTGTTTTAATTGTAATTCTCGAGTCTTGGAATATTAAGCACATTGAGCTCTTCCGACCCCGGAAACACCTTGTACAGTGCTCCAATCCTCTTTTGTTACTTGAAAGATCATTGATATATTGCCCATGATGAATAGCCGTTCAGCTCAGTGTTTACCCGTGGATTTCAGCCTTCTTTTCCACGGTGCCTTCTACTCCAAAGGATAGTAAATGAAAATGGTAGAAGTGGAAACTGCGTGCGCAGGAAATTTTTAAAAAACCTGCAGCCCCAACCAGGCGAGGCCTAGACACCGGGACCGTATGAGGTGCGCATATTTATCTACATATTCCTTATTTGTAACATTAGAGGCAAACTTGACTCAATTCACCATCTACGTATTGGGTGCTGGGTACGCTCCGGAAATTCATCGGATAGCTTTATCTCCACCCGCATGAAGGTAAAGTGAGTCGTGGGATATGAGGACTTGCTTTTGGCCTGTCGAGAGTCACTGCTCCAATGGAGCTCTAGAACTTGAGAGATGACATACAATTTGGGCAGAAAACTAGAAATGGAACAGGTCATTGATGGGCTTGTTGAGGTTGATAATATTGAGGGATTTCAAAGTTGGGGCGTCTGTGGGGGCCAAAACCAGATGTTTTTGGTAGCGACACCACCACTTTTAAAACAAGATGAATTATATTTGATCCAGTGGTCGGAGATGTGAAGAAATGACTCTGAATTTTACGGAAAAAATTGGCGTAAGTCAAGATATTAACGTAGAGATTAATCTTTTGATGAACGACATCAGAGAATCAAGGCAAGCTGCAGGGGACCGGGCCTAGATTTCATGTTTTTTCATCTATATCAGTTCAAAGCGAACCGGATTTTTTGGTAGTGTTGAGTCTTTCGGGATCAACTGCCCATGTCACATCATATTAGCTGCAGGGCTCCTACCTCCTGGCGCGTTAAAATAATAATAAATCAATCAACCTAGCCGTTTGTTATATGCCCACACTAGAATGTGATGGAAATGGGTTGACCTATACCGTGCCCAGCCATCAATTTAGGATTGTATCGTACGCCTTGATCTCGAGGGATTTTACCAGTTAGTCTATCTCAAACTCGGGGCTTTTTATACCTTGGTATCTCGAAACCACGAGGCTCGATACGGGTAAATATTCCACATTATCCAGATGAACATTCTTAGTGAAGGGGGGTTTACCACTTTAAATAAAGGTAGAAGGAAACCTGATTTGAAGGAGATCAAGAGAAAAACTGGTAGTATCGAATATTAGTTAAGCAGAAAATAAATTCAATGAGTCCTTTTGGCGTTGGTTTGTTATTTCTTCTTCGATACTGCCAAATAGGTTCTTAATGAGCGAATATATAAATAAAACATTTTTGGTCATCCGTGAAACCAAAAAATTGGACTAAGCCGTTCTATGTTACAGGTGAAGGAAAATCTGATGGTTTTCTCTCCAGGTATGAGGGACAGGCTAGAAGCAACACTTCGAGAATCGTCCAACTTCGTCAGTTTTTGGGGAAAATAAGATAGGTAACAACTCAGCCCTAGTAAGACGTTGCAATAAAATTGAAAGCCTGTAAATTCAAGTTAGGGAATTCAATTTGGTATGGATTAGGTGCATCCACCCTACAGGAGAAGATGAAAATAAAATATAACGTTTTCCCAGTGAACCACCGACTGTCGAGTAGCTCAAACGATGAATCTTAGGTCTAGCATTTTGTGGCACAATCCTGAACTTGATCCAGTATTATCTTGATTATTCTCATGTATCTTCACTCCTGGTCCTTTGGCTCAATTTTTATGTCATCTTCTGGCTTGTTTTTGAGTTTGGCCTGTAAAAGCTCATCGGAAATACCTTTATCTCCACGAAGTAGTTTAAACTCCTTCCTGGAGAGCAGCGAAGCTACCCACGCCTCCATATCTTCCTCATCTTTAACATCTTCAGATGCTTGTAGTCCATGATCCAAATTCACGCGCACCTTTGTCTTCATATCATCTAGCGACGCAATATCTAATGCCCAGAGAAGACCACCGCTTGTCATCATAGCCGTACTAAAAACGTTCAAGGTAGCCAGACTCAGTGCCTCGAGAGCCTCGCCGGCTCCATTTACTTGATTGCCCGGGATGAAGCTCGATTGGAAAAATTTGACGGCTCGTCGAGGATATTTTCGCAGGATAGAGCGCCGCGTTACATAAATTGAAAAAGCAAAGAGGCTAGCACCGCCCGCGAAGAGGCCAAGTTGACGCATGGATCGTTGTGTAGGGGAGCTTTGAGCAGCGAGCGAAAAAGGTTGCTCTAATTTGGGCGTTGGCAGCGATCCGACAGCCATGATAGGGGAAGGTTAGTAGTGACCAAGTCTGCTGGAACCATTGATTTCGAATGGTTGTAAATCTGTCACAACAGAATGGTGTTTGGTAAGTGTCTCGCATCGACTGTCCTGTGCAATCGAAATTTTAAGCTTGGGTTATCGTAGACTAAAGCAATAACCAGCGTCTACAATAAGATCTTGGCGGCTGCCATTTACCACTCATACAACGTTGAATTCATCAAGGAAGTATTCCAAGATCCTGACACATTTAATATTATGGCGCCCCCCCGAAGCACTCGGAAGAAGCCACATCCCGCCACACCCATACAGCCTTCATTCCAGCCCGAGTGGCCCATCTTTAAGCCGCTCCCTCCTCCCGAGAATCTCTGTCTCGAGGTTCTCCTTCCATCCCAGATCATGCTCATCCGAAAATTCTGGACGGGAGCGCTTTGTAAGAAATATGTCGACTTTCTAAAGACCCTACCTTTAGTGACGACGCCAGGCCTTCCGAAGAAAGGAGAGGCGCTACGCGTCAACGATCGTTTTCAGATTATCGATGATGCTTTTGCACTTCGAATATGGGAAGAAACGGGGCTTAAAGACCTAATTCTTAGTGCTTCAAATGGCGCGACCGAATTAGGGGACAGAGAGGAAATAGAGCAGCGTGAGTTATGGTGAGTTGGTCAAATTCTTTGTCAATGAGCGACAACATCCATTCTAATATATCTCAACCACATAAACTGTCGGAAATTAGATAATACACATGATTGATTGAAAGGCACTAGGCATCGCTTCAGCCTGATAGGAACTAATCTTTACTATCCGCCAGGGGTGGGAATGTTATAGGTCTCAATCCATCAATTCGAATCTATCGATACAGAAAGGGTCAATTTTTCGACCAACATTGTAAGTCCTTACACCAATAGTCATCCTGAAGCCTCTGAAAAATCCCAGATGACGAATCAAATAATGTCTCCATCAAGAATAAAAATGGCCCCTCCCGGGCTAAGACGACATGGACACTTCTTCTTTATCTCACCTCACCAGAGACAGGCTGCCAAGGAGGCGAGACCGTATTCTACCCCGACCCCAAAGAATTTCCAACTAAGACGAAGAAGAGCTTGAAGCAAGAAGAGGTGGTTGTAGGGCTTGAAACGGGAATGCTTCTTCTGCACAAGCATGGTGAAGACTGCATATTGGTAAGTATATGAGACAGCACAAATTTATACCCAACAAATGTCTCATCCGTACCACTCATAAGGCGACATACCACAGGCTGATTATCTTGGGCAGCACGAGGGCAGGGAAGTTCTAGGAGGCGAAAAATGGGTCATACGAACTGACCTCTGCGTCAAAATATAACAGTCTAGACAGATTATTAACAAAAGAAGTATGTACTAACCCTTAGGTCTATGCTTTATGAATCTCTACTATTCAAGCCAAGAAAAAACTGTTACTTTGTGGTCACACATGCTATACCTAGATAATTTCTACGACATCCCGTGTAGATTATTTAATCATCCGGGGAACTAGGATATATTCGTTGGTATACTGAAGCTCAGACTAACTCAAGAAAGTGAACACTATCGTGTCAAGTCTAGGCCGTCTCTCAACGGTCGATGGCTCAAGGGACAACTCCTTGAACCGTGTTCTTGTCAGAAGCTACTAGACCCAAGTGAAAACATCCAACTGGCTGATTTCCCAAGTTTTTTAGCGTGAAGATGATGGAAACATGTAAACATCATTCCTGTGCCTATTTTCCCCCAAAGGGCTATCTCAAGGATAATTTTGCCCGCTGTGAATAACCCCTAGCTACTTGGTATATTTTTGGACACTTCCAGAATTATCTACTAGGAGAGCGATCTATCTGGAAATTCTAATGTTCCAAATATTAAATTCCTGGGCCATTCAGGTTGAAACTATTGTAAAAAAGTGGAGTTTTGGCATTTAGAGTATCTTGTATCTTTCCATAAGGAGACTTTTGAATATTTATAATAGTACCTTCGCTCCGAACTTTACTCGTCATTATGACTTACACCGACTTTCTCTGGATCAACAGCGTCCTGGTTTGCTCTCCACGAGCTGGCATTCTCGTCAGCCATCTCCTCCCACTTCCAAACTTCGACCTTAGCCTTGCATTCTTCGAGAGCTTCTTCTCCAGCTCTCCAGGCAGCTTGTCTGTGCGGTGATGAGGCTGTTATTAGGATACTCTCTTCTCCAATTGGAACTTTGCCCAGTCGGTGGATTATGGCGATTGCGGTCAATGAGTATTTTTCTCGTGTTGCCTTACAAATATTGAGCATTGTCTGTAATGCTAGAGGCTCATATGAAGTATATTCAAGCTCTTTAACTTCTTTCCCTTGAAAGCTATCTCGCGTTGTGCCTTGTCTTATCAGAGATGTTCCAGGTTAGATAGTCATGGATTACATTATACCTGCAAAGAGCACGATGGCACCGGCCTTAGGACTTCGCACTCTATCAATAGTGTCCGATATACTGAGACATTCAAAGGTTAAAGCCACATGACATCCATGCTCATGTAATTCTCTAACCATATTGTGCCTCTTCAGATGCTTCTCGTTGAAAACTAAAGGTAACTAATCGCGTTGAACTGACGAATTGGCCCTATGCAGACCTAATTCCTGAGGGGCAAGGCCGCCAGTCGTTACAAGCATGGCTGTAGCCACCTGTCAGTTCGCGTCGCGATAGCCAATAAATTTGAATTCTGCTTTCCCGAGCTAACAATTCTTGACTATCATATATCATCTGTTGCAATTTCCCCGAAAACTCAAATACTTCAGTCCATTACCATGTACGATGATCGAAACGATGAAGAGTGTAGTTCATCTTCTTATGGCTACAAAAATAATCGGAAGGGTAATGAATGATCGAAGAAGGACACCAATATGATGATGATGTGCTGATACTCCCTGCATGAAGATTTTGTCCGATCACCACCAAGAGGACCAGCTGTTGCGGGTCGGTATCAGCCACCGCCTCACGATCGTGGGTGCCGTGAGGCCCGCAACGTAGGCAGCCGTGAATTCGAGCGCTCGCGATCCCCTCGAAGAGACAGCCGGTACACGGATAGAGATAGAGAAGACTATCAATCGCCACAACGAGAACGCAGTCGTAGTCGCTCTCCCTATTTTGGTGCGCCACCAAACCGAAATGTTATTCTTGAGGGACTCCCATTAGATTTCACACAGGAAGACGTTGGCCGCCCCTGTTCCTTCCTTCTCACGGATTCCACCTTAATTTCTCTTAACTTCCTAAGTTATCATCGAGAAAAAAGTTGAACTCTAGCTAAGCATAGAAATGGGCCATCTTGGCCTCTTTCTTGGTATCACAGATTTTTGCTGAACTCCAACACGATAAAAATGTTACTGGTCTCGACGAAGTGAGGGTCATCAAAGACAAGAGGACTGGTGCATATCTTTACCCATAGCAACTTAACATGCTAAGTTAATTCAGGACAATCTCGCGGCTTTGCATTTGTCCAATTTATCGGTATCCCTGAAGCCAGAAAATTCCTTGAAGATTATTACCCGGCCGTTTACCTCTACGGAACGCAAGACTCAAATCAAGATTCCTCAATCAAACCTGCTAAAGTAAGAATCGCCTACAGCCGAGAACGAGATGACAGAGAGAAAGCTGGCAAGGGTGACGATGACTGGAAGTGTGATGTCGTATGTTGAGCCTTAATCAATTCCAAACTAACACAAGTTACTCACCTATCCAGTGCTATCTACCAAATTTTTCGCATCGTACTTTGTGTTTTCGTTGCAATGCTCCCAGAACGCGTAAGTTCCTTTTTATTCAGATTTAAAATTTTTGTAACCATCTCAGGGTCAACGGTGCAGGGAATCGTCATGGCCCAGTCCTCTATGCCAGGCTTCATTACTACTGGCGATAGCGACGTTTCGCCGGACGGTACTGCATCACAGTTTCTTCTCTTCCGTGGTCTCGAACCTGGAGTAACAGAAGAATTGCTAGCCAAAGGTGTGAGTAAACTTATCAAAGTCAAATCTGGGACCCCCCCTACCAATCAATCCATTGCAAGGAAAAGTAAGATTTCATCGACTTCCAACGATGCTAGTCTTGGTGCTAGAGAAGGATCAATGCGACGAGTTCTCCTTGTACGCGATAGGAAAACAAACGATAGCTGGAGGTACGGCTTTGCAGAGTTTAGCACTGTCGAAGACGCCCAAGCAGCGATGGTGAAATTCAGATCACTAGATAAATTTACTATCGCTTCTAAGCCAGTGATAGCTGCATATATTCATGCTGGTGTTTTCGTCCCAATTATCCAACCACCTAAGGACGAGGAATCCAACTTTACCTTCAGCCCGTTTTCTAATACGTCGACCAAATTGATGTACTGGGACGAGGCTGCTTATGCAAGTGAATTGGTGACGGCGATCATTGAACAAACCGAACCTAAGGTCAAAGAGCTTAACAATGCGAAGAGCAGCTCAATAATAGACCAAGAAGGCCTTGTGTCTCTCAGCAAAGACTCAGAGCCTCGATCCAAGAAGAGGAAAGTGGAGAAGGAAAACAAGATTGTTGCACCCCACCTTCAATTCTGGACGAATAGACATGCCGAACTTCATGGAATTCCAATCAAAACCAAAGAACCTGAGGAGAACATCAATGATATAACAATTCAAGGCACCCGGACTGCACCACCTAAACAGAAAGTCCCTCGTAGTTTTGCTGACTTGGAAGCTAAGTGTTGCCAGTTATGTCGGCGTCAGTTCAAGACAGAAGATGAAGTTCACAAACATGAGCGTAGGAGCAAACTTCACGAGGAGAACCTAAAAAATCAGACACTCGTTTCTAAGGCCCTTGCAAAGCTCGGAAATCTGAATTCCGATAGCAGTAACCTTTATCGTGACAGGGCGAAAGAGCGCAGACGTGCATTTAACCAGCCTAAACAGCCCGTCTTACCACCCAATAGGACGTCTGTAGTATTGACAAAAGAAGCTGAAGATCCTGCACCGATTCAATCAAAAGGAGCGGCTTTACTTGGAAAAATGGGGTGGAGTGCTGGAGAAGGTTTAGGTGCTCTAGGTACTGGACGAACCGAGGCAATTAGTACCGATTTGTATGCAAAGGGTGTAGGTCTTGGGGCGAAAGGAGGAAAAATTGGTGACGCGGCAGAAGAAGCACATAGGCAAACAAAGGGTAGCTATGCTGATTTTTTGAGCAAGACGAAAGAAAAGGTAAAGGAAAGATTCGAAAGTCTTTCGTAATCCATTACACTAAGTTGGTGGGAAGTTGAGATAGCTTGCTCAAAGTTTGCACTAATGTCATAAAATAGAGAATCAATCTTCTTAGCTAATGAAATTAAGCAATTTTAATCATGTTTAATTGGCTAACGAACGATCTTCTATTTGCACGTCTGACGCTTAGAACACGCTTCTTATTCGTTCTTTGACCTTGGGTTGAATTATGGGTCACAAAAAGTTGTCAGGGCTTGTTGAGAGAAACTAGATCTTGGGGTGTTTTACACATGAAAGGGGAACAATTAGGTACGAACCAAACCTCAGTGCCCCTCCTATTTCATCTTAAGATCAAAGATAGACCGCAGTGAGTAAAACCTAACACCAATCATCAATATTCTCTATCGACCTCAACTTTTCCGTAGGGTTTGCATAACTGAGACTGAGTCACATCTTTTCAAATTTAACCTGAGTTACCTTCCCCTTCCTCGAAGATACGCTTCCAATATCTCACACGATGATAATGATGCCTTAAAAGCGGTGAGATATTGTGGTAGCAGTCTTTAATGATGTAACATTGATCAAATACTTACATTTGCTTCTCGACAGCTTATCACGGAACAGGACGTTTATATTCATCACGTGATATATAACCTAACACGCACCTCTTAATGTATATAACTTGTCAGACATAGACTTCGAAACCAAGGATGACCATCAAACGTGGTTCGCTGGATAGCATCATTCATGGAGCAGCGAGAATCCACCATCTCTATTGAGGATACTCCCTCCCCGCCCTTCCAGTCTCACTCTGGTCTCCCACAAGGCTCACCAGTATCGCCAATTCTATTTCTTCTGGCTATGGAAGAGGCACTACGTCATTCCACTGGTCGCTTTGGCTATTCAGATGACATTGCACTTTTCACGTCTGCGCCCTCCTCAGACGAATGTTATCGAACTTCCTGAGACTGAGCTGCAATACTTTCACCGGAAGTGAGGCTCACCACTAGAGCCTACTATTAGTATTAGAGGGACAACTATAACGCCCAATGATCACACTCGCTAGTTTGGAATCTTTTTCGACCGTGCTCTTCGGTTCCAACATCATATTATACAGGCTTGCTAGCAGTCTCTAGCTACCACGAGCCATATGAAAAGACTCTCCAAGAACACTCGAGGAATTAGCCCTCTTTTGCTAAGACAAGCTCTACAAGGTGCTACCTTTGCGACCCTTTTCTACGGGGCCGAGACCTGGTACTCTAAACAGACTTCCCAAAAAATTATCTTGCAAGTCCAACATAGGATGAACGACGCGGCATAGGCAGCTCTCCCAGTCTACCGTACCACAGCAATAGCAGCGCTTCTACGTGAAGCTGAGTGGGGCTCAGCTCAGACGTGGCTTAACAGAATTCACAGCCGTCTAGCGGTTCGAATTTCAGCAGCTGACCCGTACCACCCTCTTCGTAGGCGTTGGATCCGCCAGAGAACTCCGTTAGAACTTTCCGATGAAACCATACCCCCACCATGATCCGCACCCCGTGAGGAAAAGCTAATCGAAATTGGGGCAGTAGGTAGACTCTCGGGATCAAATTCCTTCAAACAGTGGCAGGCTGCTCGACCCATTCTAGACTTATTCGTATTTTCAGATAGAGCTCTCATAGCAGACTGAGCAGGCGCGGGGTACGTCATCTATCGAGGTCTTACGCAAGAGATTGGGCGGGGATTACTCCCTCTAGGAAACTCAGCAGAGGTCTATGATGCTGAAATTGCCGGGGCCACGGAAGGCCTTACTGCAGCACTAATCAGCCCACTGGCTTTCCATGCCTCTAACGTCACCGTTTGCAGGGCAAGACTGAACACCTGTACGCTATGTTCTCTACGAGCCTGGGAGTGAAATATTCTCCCAGAGCCAAGTTCAGTAATATTTCGCAATATCAAAGAAGTTGGCCCACGAGGCAAAAATTCAAATTACTTCACTATGTCAATCTTTCACTCCCAAAGATTCCGATTCTCAACTAAACTTCATCAAATCTACAAGTACGACATAGTACATCCTCATTCCAATGATCACACCTCTCGTCGACTTTCTCTGGCCTCAGTTGACCACCAAATACACGCCCACGCCGATATTTATACCCGACGGAGGAAGCAAAGCGTGGAGCACAAATCTGGGAGATAGCTCTTTGGGATGGACGTGTGAGGGATCAGGACAAGTTCATAAGATGATGCAAAGGAAGGATACAAACTCGACGGGCTTGTCATTTTGAATTTTGGCAAGAGTTTTACGAATTCAGCTTTGTGCACGCCAAGACTTCGCTTGCGAGAGTGAAGCTGATACTATAAACCCAAGCAAACGATGGAAGGTGTTGTGGTCCGCCTCCTGGTGATGTTCTCCAGTATAGTTTGAGTAGCCTGGGCACCTACTCCACTTGAGAAGGAGACATCTCAGATAAAATTTCGCGCGGAGAAAAGTTGATGGATGACGGAGGCATGTCTGGATAACCCAGGGTTTTTGAGACGTTCCCCTGGGTGGGTATTCACGGATGAGGGTTGACTTGGTGTGAAAAAAAAGCCACCATAACTTCGCATCGGTACTTGCAAATGAAATCTGAGGCATGAGTGCTCCTCTTGTAAATTGAGTCATCTTTTCTGCTCTTTTCTTTGATATTGTGTCATAGCTAGATAGCTGCAAACGCAATTAAGATCTGATGCAAAAAAAAAACGTCACCGTTTGCCTTGACAACCAGGAAGCCGCCATCCGTCTTCTCTCTGATGTTCCCATAGCGTTTAGCTCAGCAAAAATCTTTCTCTTTCGCAAGCTTATAGCAAACTGAAAAAGAAGGCCTCGCGGCCAAAACACAACGCCTGGGGAAGTGGTTATCCGATGGTACCCGAGCCACACAGGTATTCTAGAAAACGAGGCAGCCGACGCGCTCGCCAAAGCCGCTTGTGTGGCTCCAGCTCTACACTCGGTATTCTCTATTGCGAGGGCAAGAAGGGAAGCCAAAGCCCAATACGAGGCTTCTGTTGCACTTTATTGGGCAGAAAATTCACCATCTAGATTTAAAGAATTAGGAATTGGTCCTAACACTAAGATTACTGCTGAGCTCGCCTGTCTAGGGCGATGCACACTAGGATATCTATTAGCTGCACGGTCTGGACATGGCGATTTCGCAGACTACCACCGACGGTTTCAGCACGAAAACGCCATTCTAACCTGCTCAAGCGGAGAAGAAAAGTTCCCCAACCACTTTTCTATTGCCACCTTGGGCAGTACCAGGCACAGCTCCACAGAGTACAGAATCCTAGTCCCAGAATATCTTGGGCTCTCGCTTCCGCGGAGGGAGTTCACGCATTTAATAGCTGGGTGCGGGTCACAAATTTCTTTGGAAAAGCGCAACAAGTCTGACCAAAAGGGAGTCATGTAGTTCAACTAAGTTTCCTGTTACGGCTGGTATGTGAAGAGATAGCCGTCTTCGAGATTAGGAACTGGCCGATGTTGCACGAGAGTATATCAGAACGCACGGGGACAAGAATAGCTTGTGGACTAATAATACAGAATGCAAAACTACAGAACTTGTAGGAATACTCTCGCATACAGTACCCTAATCTGCTTGGAGTAAACTTAGCCCTGAAACTGATCAGGAAGGAGCTTTGGGTTAGTCATGAATTAGTCATAGAAGGAAAGGTGGTCAGAGCTGAGATGGAAAACTATTCTGGCGAGGAGTTCCTTTGGGAGAAGTGTCAGTGGATAGATGTAGTGGCGATATATATACTTAATATAATATATTTGTTAATTCGCCCCAAAGAAAATCTACAGTAGCCGTCGCTCTAAGATTGTGGAACAACGGAACTAAAGCTACATCTTACACCTAACTAAGTACAACTGTACAGCCTAGCGTGACTCAACTAAATATCGCCGCCTGATATGATAAGGCCTCCACAGTGCGGGCCAGTGTCTATGGCGCAGTGGTATAGCCACAACTACAAGTCATTATACTGAGTAGCAGTCATACTGAGCCATAACACTCCCCTTTTCATATTTTTTATTTAATTTATTCTTCATTCAATACTATCTGAAAGCATAAAAATTGAAGGGAGACCGGTAACCATGTATAATTTAATCCTCAAGCGCAGGATGATAAGATCCTGGCTTTCGTTTGCTTTATTTGGTCTGTTCTGGCGCCAACACGGTGGGTAGTGTTAGACTATACGAGTCAATTGTCTTGTCTTGTCTTGTTCATTTACGTGCTAGGTATAGTGATTCCCGTTGCACTCCTACTGGAGCTTAAGCACGGGTGGGGCCGGGCTGGATCAGGTTAACTACCATTAAGTACATCTACCTCGTTCCACCTAAATGACCGGACCACCTCAGACTTCACCCATGTGTTGAATCATGTCAAGCCCAACCGTCCAGAGAACCCCCTTTTGGCGCGCCGAAGCGCAAATTCCTCCTCAGCCTCGGCCACCACGCACCCGAGCCCTTGACACCTCCGCAATCTGTAACTTTTCCCTTCGCTTCATTCCCAGCTTTTGCTCATCTCAGCATCTCCTCATCTCATCCAGGGGTCGTTTTCTTCACTGAAGGCCTCATCCAGTCGCCCACCAAGGCCTCCTCAGTTTGTATTCCCTTTTGATTCCTTCATGCAGCATCCCTCTGTCCTTCAGTCAATCTCGTCATCCCAGAAACTTTGTAGACTGTCCACTCCTCCGGCCTTGCCCCATCGCTGCCGTACCCCTAACCGTGGAGGTCTAAAACGCGACTGAGAGCTCAAGACCGAGGCACCGGTGCCCCAGTCTTTGTCGAATGCTCGGGTTGGTGTGCCGGCGATATGTTGTACGTATTTCGTCGATGGCGATTCGTCGTAGACCGAGTTGTTGGTGCCCTTGGCCGAGGTGAGGACGCATTTAAGGCCGGTATTTCGACCGTACCTTCACAGCGACTGGCAGTTGTGTAGGGTCAGACATCCTCTTGCTTCTTTAATGGCGATTTGGCTTTTGGAGGTATGGGATTGCTAAGGTAGGTGGTG